AAAAATGGCTGCCCACTGCTCCGGGTGTGTGTTCACGCTGTGTGTGTGCACTTTGGATGGGATAAATGCAGAGCACTAATTCCAAGTATGGGCCACCATACTTGGCCACATGTCACTTCACTCATTCACTCACTCACTTTAATCCACAGCCCGGGCAAACGGTTCTCAGCATGTTCACGACTGTCTGGAGCGCGATCTTCGCATACTCACAAGTAAGCTGATGATGCTGTTTGTTTACAATGGAGAGTGAGGACTCGTATGCAGAGCTTCACCAGCAGTACCAATGTCTAAATCTCACTACATAAAATTTACAGTGGTTGATGATTTCGATCTGAAAGAGGATGACATGGAATTTTATGCACAGCCCTACTTGTTTAAACCAGAATATTCCGACCAAGAACTGGGAGAGACGGATGACGCAGTGGCATCAGCGGCACAACCACCACAAGCCTCAGTGAGACCGAGGACTCTTCAGTAGCCCCTCACTGCAGAACACAAGATCCAGGGGGGGTGGTTAGATCCACATCTAGTGGGTGGAGATTGGTAGGTTTAGGGGTGGAGATGGGTGGGTTTAGGGATCGGGGTGGAGACGGGTAGGTTTATAAGGTGGGAGGAGTTGGATCTGCAGTGAGGACCATCTCGGACTCATGAGACATGTTGGTGTTCATGTTCTAAGTGTCATGCAATGACAACAGAGGTAGAATCGATCTGGATCAGACGTCAGAAATCTGTGAAAAGTCAAACTTTCCGAATGGGATTACGCATGCGGACTTAATCTTTTTTTTAAATTGGTTCCAGCATCCAGGATAAGCACAGGTAAGTACCATTTGACGGAAACTCAAACACACACGTCCTCACTCTTCGTTGTAAACAAACAGCGTCATCAGTTTATGTGCGAGTTTGCGCCCACGCTTACTTCATTATGTGAGAAAGTTTGCACTCCAGACAGTCGTTATTGCAATAAGAACCAGTTGCCAGGTTGTGGATTAAAGGTAATAATGTTGTAAATAATGTTCATTTTCTTGCACAGACTGATCGTTTCGCTTCATAGGACCTCAGTGTATTGAAAGTTGTATTGAAAATTTCAAAGGAGCCGCAGGTATTGATTTGGTCTTCTCTGTATATGTTTTTTGACTCTCAAAAACCAGCAACCACCAACGTGCAGTTTATGAATCGCCAAGGACAACAGTTTCACCTAAAAATCTTCTTTACTGTTCTACTGAAGAAATAAGTTACCTACATCTTCAATGGCCTGAAGGTGAGTAAATTAACAGCAAATTTTCATTTTTTTTGGTGAACTATCCTTTTTTTAAAGAAAAGACATCGGATCTTACCTGATAAAATTGCTGACGGCATGTTTTGCTTGGTTCCTAGCATCATTCTGGTCTTCACCACCAGCTACGTAAAGGAAGCCATCCAAAACAGCCACACACTGATTGAAGCTCTTCGCGGGCATCTCCGTCAGCTTGTTCCAGACACTATCCTCATCTCTGTAGAGAATGTCCTTGCTGAGAGATTTTTCGGTTAGGGCAGGCCGGCCTCCCACCGTGAGCAGCACTCGTTGGCCTCCACGGACCTTGGTTCTTCTGGATTGCAGGATGTTCTGCTGGAATGGCAGCAGGTGATAATTCATGGCATCGACCAACAGACGGTGGCACTCAGCATCTTGCATCATCCTGGGAACGATCTGCACGTGACTAACAAGATCCTGGGGTGAGATGGTTCCAAAGCGGATGCTGGACAACAGATCAGGAGCATACTTCAACCTCTTCTCATCGAAGTCTAACCACTTCATTGCGATCTGGAAAGCTGTGAGCTCAGAGGGCAACTGGAGCGAGTCGTCCGTGAGAAATTCGCTGATCTGCTCATAGGTGAGCTTTAGGAACTGTTCAATTTCTGAGAATTCGATGAAGTTCTCCCGCATGAACTTCTGCGCAGCGTCTTTCGTCTCTTTCAGATTGTACGTGTCGGCGATGTTGACAACATACATGCAGTTCTCCACGCTGATCTCCCGCATCAAGAACTCGCTGCACATCTTCACCAGAGAATGGATCTGCAACAGCATGGCTGCTGATATCGTGCTACCAATGGTGTACAAAGACAATTCCAAAGCGGATGCTGGACAGCAGATCAGGAGCATACTTCAACCTCTTCTCATCGAAGTCTAACCACTTCATTGCGATCTGAAAAGTTGTGAGCTCAGAGGGCAACTGGAGCGAGTCGTCCGTGAGAAATTCGCTGATCTGCTCATAGGTGAGCTTTAGGAACTGTTCAATTTCTGAGAATTCGATGAAGTTCTCCCGCATGAACTTCTGCGCAGCGTCTTTCGTCTCTTTCAGATTGTACGTGTCGGCGATGTTGACAACATACATGCAGTTCTCCACGCTGATCTCCCGCATCAAGAACTCGCTGCACATCTTCACCAGAGAATGGATCTGCAACAGCATGGCTGCTGATATCGTGCTACCAATGGTGTACAAAGACAAGGTCAGTTTTCCAGAATAGGCGTATGTGATGACTGTAGCCAGACCGACTGGGGACAAATCACTGAGCTCAATCTTCTTGAGGGCTGGATCCTTCCTGAGCATATTTTGGATGTACTCACTGCAGGAAGCCATCACAACCTTGTGAACGTCAAAGGATCTGGACTTGGTTGCTACAGTCAGATCACAGAGGAAGCTGTCTTGCCTCATGTGGCCAAGACCCTCCAAGAGGTTGGGTGCATAGACGGGGTCAGTGACCTCTGTTGAGATACAACTAAAACCATTTCCACCTTCCAGGAGAGTGTTGAGCCCATTGATTTTGTTGGTGGGACTGTCCTCTACCAGAATTGTTATCTCATTTATGTCAGCTTTGTTCTTCTTAGCGGCCTTGTTCTTTTTGGGTGCCATGACTGTATTGATGGGTCACAGCCAAGACCTAAAAGGAATTTTGACAAAATATGAACACATTATGAGTCAAAGAACAAATTTCAAAACATATAAGTGTATACAGACAAATCTGAACAAATCTAATACTCTTGACCTGTTAATATGCGGGAGGAGACTGCTTTCTACGTTTACAATCATTGACAGCCTACATTAACAAACTTATTAAATCTTGACAAAATATACACCAATCGAAAGATCTAAAACTTAAAGTTCAACATATGATTGTAACGATGTATATCTATTAGTGACCATCTTTTTTTTTTATATAAAAAAAAAAGTCTGGTTGTACCAAAAACTCAAGAATCTATTCTTGAAAAACCATAAAATATGACCATATAAAAATGGCAGGTTCGGATATGTCCCCTAAATGTGTATAGTGGTTGCTGTCCGGCTCTAAAACAATGTATGCAACATTTTAATACGGAGCAAGAAATCTTTCATTTTACAATGCTCGATGTATCATTAATTTAGCAAATTAGCATAACATTTCACAAGTGTTTTCAGCAACAAAACAACCATGCTCAGACTGAACCAGGACTCTTAAGTCTGTAGTGTAGTGACACAGTCTTTTCTCATATTTCAAAACCACGTGTGGTGTTGCTTAACTTTTAGGGTCACTCTAACAAGCAAAAAATAAATAAATAAAAATAAAAAAGTAATCTCAGAAGTGCAAAGCTTTATAATAATACCCTTTAAAATAAAAAAAAATAAAATAAACACTTAAGAGTTGTTATCGCAGCATATCACCTCGGCAATTCCCATCTTTGCATCTGTCACAAGTTATCACAACTATGGCCAAGAATAGAAAGGCAGTGTACCATTGCTCTAAGGTTCCTTTTATAGACCCCAAGTCATTTAAACCCATCTGTCCTTTCAGTATTTCAGAACTAAAACATATAACTTAATTTGTAGGGAACTGTTATTTTGTTAAATGTTACAGTAAATGGATTCATACTAATAGGGTCTGCCTTTGTACCACGTTCACACACACACAATATATATATATATATATATATAGTTTGAAAAGAGGCTTCAGTCAGAACAAAACATACAGCCTGATAAAACATAAGAAACTTTTTCCACTAAGTCTCATTTAAGTCCACTAACAACTTTCATTTATTTTTTTCTGGTACTTAGGAAAAAGAAAACAGAACCCAATACAGTGACCTGAAGAACCTACAACGCAGCTCCCAAGAATCATACAATCAACTCAAGAACCTCCTTTCAGTCAAATTGATAATTGCTAAGATAGTTTTTTGTTAAACTAAGGTGCTGTAATGAACCACCGAAAACTTTTTTTTGTGTAAAGACAAGTATAACGCGCTTACCGATGTCGAGATGAAGTAGGTGGAGGAGAAGGACAGACTTGCACCTCTAAATTGGTGTGCAGAAGAGAGAGGAACGCAAGAGGTCCGAATAGAGCCTAACTCCTCCTCGAGCTATAGAAGAGGTGATTGCGCAAACAGTGCGGTACGTGGTGCTCCGTTATTTCACCAATAGGTCATAATTAAACTACCTGTTTGGCGTGATCTGCTTTTGATGTAGTCTGATTCTGTCATGCTGGTATTACGAGGACAAACATGAAAACACATTAAGGAAAAAGGCACACAGGACGAGCGTACTACAGAAGAAGTGAACTGCAGTTCATGAACTCAGGCGTCTCCACACGCTTAAAAATAAAGGGTTTAAAACACTTACTGCAGTTATATAAAGCATCCTGAAATCCTTAAAAAAAAAAACAAGCGACGTTTTCTATATCATGTTACCTTATAGGCTATCCTTTCCTTTTGTTTCTTTTTTTTTAACTTCACTTAATCTTCACTACTATATCAAATTTTCCAATTTAACTTATTAAACTAAACTAATTCCAATATCACATTAAAAATTACATGATAAAAAGCAACATTTTAAACTGGGATTCCGAATGGTCAGGTATAATGGATTTATAGCAGCCATGACGGCTCTACACAAGCAGACGCATCTGACCAGCATCTGTCGTAGGCTACATAGATTAACAATTAAATGCCGTCAGTAGGATATGCGTTTTGTCTTTTCATTGTGCTGCAGATTTGATCAAAGTTGTAACTAACTGCTTACATTCAGGCATCAGTGTTCAAAAGTGCGACTGCTTGCTTTTGTGGAGTGTTTGAGATTGCACGCCCTGCGATGAGTCTTCATTTGTCAAACAAGCTTGTGTGAAATGATTCTGAGAAGACCTTTCCGACAAGGTAAAAGTAAAACACCTTCTTATATCGTCTCCGCCCATATAAAGGTGACGAAAAAAAAAACATGGCGAGACTTCGATCAGTGCAGGACAGGCGCATGTGAGGAGGTGACATGGCCGCAGCTGATGTGAAAAAGGTTTTGCTATTAAAACATCAGCTGAAAGAATCCTGTGACGGACACACGGTAGGACGTCGTCTATCGCTGTGTAATGGTCAACAACAAAAAAGTTTGGTATCGTTTTACACAAATAATGTGAACAGGCTAAAAGATAAAACCGCAGGCGCGAGATAACCCAAGGATTAACACAGTAACTTTAAGCTTTAAGTCAAACGTCCAGTTGCATAGACGTTTTCTCTGGCAAGAACCTTATTAAACAACTTAAAATAAGACTTTTTGTGAATTCTGTCATCCAGACAAAACTTCAGCATGTTTTTAAGTAACTGGTAGCAGGCGAACACATAGGCTACATTAAAACAATAGTCAACTAAAGAATAAACATTTTTAACTGAAAGGTTGAACTGTGTTAAGTAATCAGATGCATTCTTTTTATATATACATAATTGTTTATAATTGTTTAACTGTTTAAATTTCACTGAAAAGCCATTAAATAACCTATAAGATCGGCAATATAAGTGTGACAACTAGCCCAGGTCTCCCCTACTTAAGCCTAAAGTTTAGTTTAAATTAATGGTTTGATATGTATTTATTTATACTCTTTACACAGAAAAAAAAAAAAAAGATGGTGTACTGTGAATAGAAAATGTAGTATGTCAGCAGCTGTTGACAGGAAGGCGGGAGGTGTTGGGGGGGGGGTAGGCACTTGAGAGGGGGTCTTTCTAAAAATAACACTGCAGTTGTCTCTCATGTTGGCTGTCTGTCATTTTAGGCCGTGAAGGGGCAATGTGGCAGTACGTATTTTGATTAAACTTAACATGCAGTGTGTTGGTGAATTTGTAGTGCAGTATTAAAGTACTATTTTGTTTGATGTGACTGCACAATGCATTAACCTCTACTGCACACGCACAGTATCTTGTATTTTACAATCGGTGGGTGGGTGTCATTTTATTGCCCATTTATAGTACCTCAGCTGAGGTTTCCCTATACATAGAGCCTGACCAGTGCGCTCACTCAGCAAATTCACATTTTTAAACAGCCACGTGGAAATGGGTGGGGCACGAAGATTTATAATTCTGTTCTATATGTGATACCCACAACATATGGGGTATTTTCAGCAACATTAGATCATATTAATCAATGTTTGAAATGGCATCTACAGAAATTTGTATTTGATTCTCATGTCTTTAACTTTCATTTTATGGACCGTGGTGGAATAACACTACATTTCACAGTGCTCTAATTTACTAAGTTTACAAAGTGGAACCAGACAACATGAAGCAGGTTTGCAAGATGGTAATCTTAAACAGAATTTCTAACGAGTTATGTACTTGCCAATTTTGTTGAAACGCCTGCAACCACACCAATTTGTGCTTGGATGATTGCTTCAGTTGTTTTGACGATACTGATTTCAGTACATTTTTCCTTGTATTGTAGTTCCATTTCAACAAAGAGGCAGTTTTTGCCCAAACCTGGTAACAAGCAAATTATTTCTTTGGCTTAGATTATTTAATTGAACCTGTTCTGTTTCAGCTGCTGAAAATCTTGAAGAAACTCGAAGTATTGGACATTACACTTGAAATTCTCACTGTAAGAGATTGTTGTAATTAAAAAAATAATAATAATTTTCAGTTATACTTAGTGAAATATTTTCCTCTCGAGCCTTCAATATTCATATTTTGTTTGTAGGAAACAGGAATTGGAAAAGTCGTCAACTCCATTCGGAAACATGATGAGGCTGGAAAGGTGGCAAAAATATTGGTGAATCGATGGAAAACGCTTGTTCCAAAAGACTCTGCAAGTATCATCTGGTACTACAAATCTGTAATTGAAAACAAATTTATTTTTATTTGCATTTGAGATACTATCTTTTCCATGTGACATACTGTACTCCTAGTCTCCACTTTTTTTTTTTTTTTAATTGCAGTTCGATTGGGGGAAAGCCTGATGACTGCCTAATCCAAAATGAAATGCTTCATAAAGAAGTTCAAGAAAGGAGTAAACATGAAAACAGCCAGTTTTCAGAGACTACCAATTCTAGAAAGAAGCCAAAAATGGAGAATACCAGTACTGAAAAGAAAATGTCAGAGAATGTTGACATTAAATGCAAAATCAAGCCCAGTAAATCCAAAATCGACTTGAAAGGTGAAAAAAAGGATGAGCCAAAAAAAGATTCAAGTGTAAATCAGGGCTCATGGAGTCACAGCTCTGGTCACGGCAAGGAAACGACAACTGGCGAGCATGCAAAACATGAAAGCAAAAAGACTGCGAAGGTTTCTGGCATAAGAAAAAAAAAGGAGAATACGAAACTTGAAAAATCTTTGAAAAGACCTGAAACAACGCAAAAGCCGAGAGAGAAGAGTGGAGATGCATGCAAGAAAGAAAAGACTGAGAAGGCCAAAGACAAATTAGTAAAAATGGAGACTGTCAAACAGGCTGAGGATGGCTGTGAAACACCTTCCATGTCCTTTGAGGCCTACCTGAACTATGACCTTGAGCCTCCCAAACGCAAAAAATCCTTCAGTGTTGCTAAGAATCCGAAGAGACTTAAAACTGCCCACAAAGAGAACTCGTGTGTGTCTCTTGTGAAAACAAGCAAGGCAGTAACAGAAGACCCAATGACAACGGTACTCCAAAAAACCTGCATCGTGTTGCTTGTTGTAGTTTCCCAAATGAAAATGTAGTTCAAAATCTGTAAGATGTTCTTTAGTCCAATGAAATTCAGTGAGAATCTTACCCTCTGCTGTAACTTTCAGATCGAGTCATGTTTGCAAAACAACAGAGTAACCAATGACGTATAATGTTATTGATCTCAAACCTGACACATGCCCTAATGTTTTTTTTTTTTTTTTTTTGAGATTTTGGGACTTTATAGATTTATATTGATTTTTATCATATATAAAAGAGTGGCTAATAAATCAAAAATGTACCTGTTGTGTTTCATTGAAGACAAAGTCATACAGGTTTAAAAGATGTGAAATTGAATAAATGATAACAGATTGTTTTTTTTTTTTGAGTGAACTCCAGGTTCCTGAGCAGTCAGTGATGGACTTGCTAAACGTTCCTTTGCCAACCATTTTTCCCGAATGCGAGGACATTTCTCAGTATCAGTACTTCAGTGAAATGAAAGGTGGGTCAAAGCTTTGCATCTACTGGGTATTTTCATATGTTCTCAAACGTAGCCAAAAGCCTGTTTTTTAAAGCTGGACATTGCTATAATAGAAATTCTCTCATTAACTTATTTATTTATTTTCCTAGCTGATAGAAAGATCATTGATGTCTGTGAAGAGGCCCCGGTCTTCATTGGACAAAGGCTGAATAATAAGATGCAAGTGTACTCTGGAAGTAAGATCACGTACCTGCCAACCATGATGACGCTGTACCAGCAATGCATTCGAACGCTGCAGAACAACATTGACTGTACGTTTCCTGACATTATGGTTTTGCTCTCAACATTATACTTGGTTTTGAAGACATTGGCTGTTTTACAGCTCTGTATGAAATTGGAGGGGTGCCATTCGAAATTTTGGAACCAGTACTAGAGTGCTGCACGCCTGAACAGCTCCTCCGGATTGAGGAATACAATCCAGTAAGAAGTTAACTCTTGTCTTTAATAGTGAGAATGCTAGAAACAGTGTGTGCCATCTAGATATGGATCTAATCTACCAGTCATATGTTTGAAACATTTAGAGTACATTTTATACTTCTGACACAGGTGTACATTGGGGCGACGGACCACCTGTGGGAGAGACACTGCCAGAAAGACTTCAGAAATTCCCGGCTGGAGGAGTATGAATCCTGGAGAGAGATGTACCTCCGCATGTCAGAGGAGAGGGAGAGAAAACTAAAGCAACTCACAAAGAGCATCGTCTCTGCTCACTCCAAGAAGCCCAAAGGTAATTGGATTTGCACTGTGCTCTGCATTTTCTTATTACTCCTTGTTTCTTACTTGCACATGTTAAAGGAATAGTTCACCCAAAAATGAAAATTTGCTGAAATTTTGTTCCTTCATGGGAACAGATTTGGAGAAATGTAGCATTACATCACTCACTCACCAATGGATGCTCTGCAGTGAATGGATGCCGTCAGAATGAGAGTCCAAAAAGATGATTAAAAACATCCACAAGTAATCCACACCATCCAGTCCATGAATTAATCTTTTGTGAAGCCAAAAGCTGCGTGTTTGTAAGAAACAAATCCGTCATTAAGGCATTTTAACTTTAAACCATTGCTTTTGGCCAAAATACGAGTCCATA